TGATACGTACTTTCAATTTTCAGAAAGATAATTTTCTCCACAATTTTTATACTTTCGTAAGAAGCAATAGAAAGTCTAGTTTATTATTCCACTGGGCATTAATTAACTCGCGACTGTCTCTGTTCTCCTTGTGAAATTCTTTTATTCTTCTCGAGTCGTTATTATAGTCTCTACTCTTGTTACCTGTCAGATATTATACTATTACATTATGTCAGATATTATACTTATTAGTTATCAACAATTGTTCAAAAGAAAATTTGAGCTGGATGTCTTCCTAAAACAAATATTCCAATGCAAATTTATATGTTAAGTCAAAAATCGAAAAAGTTGTGGAACTTTTAACTAGAATCGTGATAATTTTTGGAAAAATTTTCCTACATTGTAAGCTCCGATGAGAACGGATAGGAAAAAGTTTCAATTAAAGACAAATTTATAAAATAAATAAAATAGAAATTTGTCTGTAGAAACAATAATTTCTTCGTCAATATTGAAATAGTTCTCAATACATTGCAACAGATATTGAATACTATTCAAAAAATGACATTAGACAATTATCGAAGGTCAGTTGATATTCTGAATACGTTCTTCGTTTGGAATATACGTGGATAATTCAAAAATATTTCCATAAATATATAATAAAATATATAATATTTTTATATTTTATATTATATATAAATATATATAATAATATATATAAATCAAAAAGAATTCCTCCGGAAAGTAATTATTGGAAAGCGATGAAATACAATGCACATGATATTATTTATAATATTTGATAATTAAAATAATTTTCTAGCATCCATTTTATGAAACTACAAAATAGCACATAAATTAATTGATCTGGTAGTTGTTCTATTGTTAAATTATACTTTCACCTTTTTGAAAGTTTATTAATACATTCCTAATTTTTTGGTACTAATTTGTCTACTTTGACATTATGCAGTATCTACTTTGATATTATGCACTATCAAAGACTCAAAACTAGTATAGTTGTATCGATTAGTTTGTTAAATGAATTAATAAATGAGCCACTCATTTTCCAAATCGGTTATCTGCACTTTTTTAATCTTTTTTTTAATTTTAACGTCAAAGTACCATAAAAGTATCATAAATAATTTCCTTCGGAAGTCGATTTCTCTAACTACAAACTCTGATGCAGGTTGTTGTTGTGAGAATTTAGTTGGTTAACTAATTTTTTATACAATTATGTATTAAAATTATATATATATTATTAAAATTAATTTAATACAATATATTAGACATAATAATAGCACTTATAATCGCAAATAATTGTTATCTTAATTATTGCCATAAAAAAAGGAAAATTTGAGACAAACAACGAATTGACTAAAATAATTTAAACCAGTGAATTGACTTAAAGTGCATTGAATAGAATTAGAAAAATCGAAACTTTGCAATTCAAATATGATTTTAAAAATGTAGAATTTAATGTCATTGATATTAGAAAGTCTGTAGCAGGTAGACCACTAGTTTTGAAAAATGGTAGATCAGCCTTTGTTCCATCCCAAAGGCAGAACAGTGACAAAAAAGAAGAAGCAAGACATAATGAATTTAATGAAATTCATTCCTCCTAGTAAACATGAAATTTAAAGACAAATCAACATGGTAGCACCTCGAATGTATGTGATGTAAAAGATATTATCATTTATGTTTCTAATGGTTCAATTTAACCACGCTAATACAATAATTACTATCATTAATGTTTTCTAAAAGTTTATAATAAAAAATTTTTTTGAATGTTCAATTTGATGGTATTATTTTCACTTGCCAAATCAATCAACTCTGTTAGTCATACCAAATGATATTGATAACAACAATTATACCACTTTGTGCATTTCATGTGCTGTTAGATGAAATCTAAGGCTTGTGAACAATACATTTTACAATATTTCTTTCGAATTTACATTTTAAAGAGAATTTTAAACAATAAAATGTGTACTACTCTGTCACTTTTCTGCGCTTTTTGTTTTTTTTTGTAGTCTAATCTATTTGAGCGGCTCAAATATATGATTCCGTTGAAAGAACAGAGTTAATCTTTATTCACGAAATTTTTATTCAACATCATTCAACATGCACCATTCATTTTTCATTTTAACATTTTTCTCTGTAAATAATGATAATAATAACGTGTACTAGAAAAGCGCCAAGTTGCTCTAATTTTAATATTACAACAATCTCTGTATATATATTGTTTTCTGTATAGTCGGTTTTGTTCTGAATTTCTGCTCGTTATAAATATTTGGAGACCTTCAATGATAAATAATAATTGCAGAAATAGGCAAAATCGAAAGAATTGCCAATAAATGTACTGATATAAATATAATAAATACAATCTACTTGGTTTTATTTTAAAACGTGAAACTTCTACTTTGACAACTGTGAGTTTGTTTCTTTCGAAAATAAATTCGCATCATGCGCAGAGGGTGGAAAAGTAAGGACGCTTTTCTCTCGAAAATTAAAAAGCGTTTTCAAACATTGAAAAAATTTTCTTCACGACTAAATCTACCATGGTTTTGAAGATTAAAATCTCTCCTTAAAAATCTTCTTTCTTCACTGACGCTGGATGACGAAATTTCTTTAACGCAAACTCCAAAGAGAGATTTCAATCTTCGAAATAACGGTGACACCTAGTCACAAAAAAAAAAAACTTGTCAACGTTTTTTACAAGTATAACTCTCCCGTTCGCGTTACACGTAAAATCATCTCCGAACAAAAACTGGAGAACGAAAGACAAATTCAAACACGTGGAAACAGAGGCTTTGCCAAAAACAGTTGCATTTCAAAACGTGAAATGATTTTCTTTTCTTTTTTTTTTTTTTTTTACGAAAAAAGAAAGATTTACTATCGCTCCAATGTACGTCGATTAATGTCAACGCTCAAAGAAACGTGTCAAACGGGGGTTGAAAACGATTTCGCCCGTGAATAAGTTTAGCGACGCGACGCGTCGCAACGGTTCTCCATTCGCCGCGCGCTGATATGAGAATTTCAGCGGTGAATGAAACTTCTGAGCTTCGTCGTTGCCTGCTGCGTCGCGGTGTCGTTGCAAATATTCATGCCGAGCACGAACTTCGCAATTGTTGCGTGATTCGGGCGGACTGGGGAATCTTTCCCGACAGGAGAGGTGTAGCTGCCTTGTAATTTCGCTGACAATTCCCTCCCCCGCGCAACTGAATTCGTGTCAACAATTTCATTAAGCGCGTTACTCGCCATTGTAAATTAAATTACTGTCGAAACTGAGAACAATGCGCGACGATATCCAGAGCGATACTGTTTTCTATTCGGGCGGAGCAGCGTGATACAGATGCGTCGATATGTTGCAGTTCGATGAACTTTAATCCTTTGCTCTTGGCAAACTTTTCTCGTTTAACCAGCAATTTATTTTGACGAAGCATTCGTCACTTCAAATAAAAATGGCGTAGCATTCGAATGATACACGTATAATACACGAAATTTTGTCGATCGTGTCTTCCCTCAGCGTGCGATGTCGTTTCACCCCTTGCGCGGACCGTAACGAGTGACCGCTTTCCTTTTCAACTCGTCGATATCACTGGATAGAAATGATTGAAAAGTAATAAATTTATAATTTTCCCTGGATTACATTTAAATATACCTAAAACTGAGAAAATGTTGCAATTTGGGATAAAAATAAATTGTCGATGTGCGTTGCGTTGGCAACTGATTGCGGACCATAACGAGTGACCGAACCGAAATACAATAAATCGTCGCTTTCTTTTACTTACTTTTTGAACTCGTCGGTACGACATCACTGGATAGAAATTATTAAGAAGTAGTAAACTTATCATTTGTTTCGCCTGGGTTACATTTATATGTATGTACTAAGAACAAAGTATACTAAGTTAGTTTTAAAACTAAGTAAACTGAAATGTTGCAATTTGGGACACGTCATTCCAGCGAAAAAAGTTAATACAAAAAAAAAATAAACAATAAAATATGTATTTTCGTATGTACTGTACTGGAACGAGTGTTTCAACCCATCATGCGACAATAAATTCGGTAAACGTGAAATGAATAAACACACCAAATGATAATTACGCAACTACTTCGATGTCTTCAACATTTACGACAGTAACTGTACATACAGCGTGTCTATAAGGTCTCTTTACAATTTCAAAAATTTATTACAAAGACAAATGAAGAGACAGACAAGTGGAAATTATTACAAAATGAGGCGTGTATATTTAAATTTTTTCCAACTCATTTAATACATCTCTATATAGGCATCATTAATTGCACGAAGCACATCAAGACGGTACTCGATTTCTTGCCATGTTCGCTATACCATACTCTCATCAATAGTGGTAATGCCATCAGTGATCCTCTTACCTTTGTTCAATACACGACATCTTTAACACATAACCTCACGTATGTGTCCATAAAGTCTCTCTCATGACTCAGAAAAAAAACTTAAATATACACGTCTCATTTTGTAATAACTTCCACTCATCTGTCTTTTCATTTGCCTCTGTAATAAATTTTTGAAATTGTAGAGAGACTTTATAGACACCCTGTATCTCGGCCACTTTATTCAATCGCGAAGAATCGTAGAATAAAAGTTCTAGCGATCCATCCGATATGATTACTCAGAAAATAACTTAAATATACACGTCTCATTCTACGATAATTTCCACTTACCTGTTTTTTCATTTACCTCTGTAATAAATTTTTAAAATTGTCAAGAGACTTTATAGACACCCTGTATCTCGGCCACTTTATTCAATCGCGAAGAATCGTAGAATAAAAGTTCTAGCGATCCATCCGATATGATTGCTCAGAAAATAACTTAAATATACACGTCTCGTTTCGTAATAACTTCCACTCATCTGTCTTTTCATTTGCCTCTGTAATAAATTTTTGAAATTGTAAAGAGACTTTATAGACACCCTGTATCTCGGCCACTTTATTCGATCGCGAAGAATCGTAGAATAAAAGTTCCAGCGATCCATCCGATATGATTGCAGAACGGTTTGAACGAGACCAGGAGGGATCGTATCCTGCGCACATACGTGCGTAACACGTATCGCTACCACCTTCACGAGATCTACTCGACCCTCCGCAACGAGTACACGGACTGGGAGAGGGGCGAGCAGAGCCCGTCAGCGATCTGCGAGGGTCTCCTTTCGTTGCTCGGTGATGGCCAGGTGGCTGCCCCTCTTCTTAGGCTGGCGCTGTTGCACTCGACCGCCGGCGGACGTGGCTACTTTCTGCATTTCCAGCTCGGCGACCGGCCAAGCCAGAGGGGCGAGGAGGTGCCCTACCTCCTCGGGACACCTCTGCTTCGCGCGGACGACGTGCCCGTTCTCTTCGCCCAGGCAAACTACACGCCGACCGACGAGAACCTGTCCAAACTGCTGGTCCACTATTTGGCCAACTTCGTGAAACGTGGGTGAGTCTTTTTCTCTCTCTTTTGCCTTTCGCCTTCTTCGCGCCTCTGCGTGACCGGAATTCTCAGATCCTGAAGCATCGACGAAACCCCGAAAGAAACGTCGGACCGGGGCATTTTCCAAATCGGCTGCAACATGCTCGAATAATAAAAACTTTTGTACTAAGACGTCAGGCTTCTGGCATAAAGAAATCTGTCTTAATTTAGATATTCGGTGATGGTAATAACGAAATTAATATAAAGATTAAAATATTAATATGATATGTTTGACCACTTGCGGTAGCAACTGATTGCGGACCGTAACGAGTGACCGAACCGTTATATACAATAATTCGTCGGTATGATATCACTGGATAGAAATTATTGAGAAGCAACAAGCTTATCATTTGTTTTGCCTGAGTTACATTTAAATATACTTAAAACTGAGAAAATGTTGCAAAAATTTCTCGACGTGCGTCATTCCATCGCAAAAAGTTAATATAATATTAATGTAATATTATACTATTAATATCTATAATCAATATAATATTAATATAATATGGTATAATACATTAATATCTATAATCAATATAATATTAATATAATATAATATAATACATTAATATCTATATTATATTAATATAATATAGATTAATAATATTAATCTAAATTTAAATTAATATAAATAATATATCGCTCGATCACTGTTAGTACTTCGCGTTTACTTGTTGTAATTCCCAGTATTCGTGGGCCTCGTTCAACATTCTCTAAGAAGATATTGTTTCTAGGGAGATTTAAATATCAGTACTTTAGTTTTAGGTCGGATTTAATCGAACTTTAAATCCGTACCTTAAATTAACCGGTTACAATTCGCCAATCAACGTGTATAAAACAGGTAATAAAAAAGAAACACTAATGTCTATCGAAATGGAGAAATTTCACACTTTAAAATGAGGCCAACTAAGCTTTTTATTCCAGATGAAAAAACCAGAATTTATGAAAAAAAAAATACGAGCTGAATGTCTAGTACATCTTTATCAAGTTCGAATAAAGATTCGCTTAAGATAAAAAACTGTTTCTAAACAAAAAGTTGAAAAATCTGTCAAAGTAAATTTATTTTAAGTTTAATTTTACAAAATTAATCGTATGAGAAAAAGGACATATTCATATTGTTCTTGTCTTTCGTGCGTAAATTTTACGAAATTAAAGTTGTTAATGTTTCCTAAATTATTAATCTTTTTGGTATAAATAAGTAGATACTTTTTTATAACAAATCTCAAGAAGTACATGACCATTTGGAAAAAAACCTACGTGAAATCGTTGCAACATAGATTAAATATTTGATTTAAAATAATATTTTACAGTCGTTGCACAGTCAAGAATAATACGGCAAATAATTCAGATTAGTATATCATGACGAAACTGAATTTAATTCCATTCCACTTCCGGCACCAAATTTCGTTGGGTTCCGCGGAAGATGCGATTACACCCGGGACAAAAAGAAAAATAGCATACTCTATATTTTCTCACATTATGCATCGTAAAGTACAGAGAATTATTCGATTGGACTGTTACATCGGTGTCCTTGGACGTGGATGTACGCGTAGTATGTTGAATGTTATTACCGAGACGCAATTTCCCAAAGAAATGTAGATATTGTGTAATCGCGAGGCTGACAGAAAAATGGCATAATTCGAATATTTGATTGCTCCTCGGTGGTACAGAAGCTATCGAAAGCGTAACGTTCGTGTGAACCACAGCCAGTCAAGTGCGTATCAACGCAATGAATAAATAAATCTGTAAAAATGGATTGTGGGAAGAAATTAAATCCAGCTGAAATGCACGCGATATTGAAATTAAACGAAGAACATTATTCTTCGACAAAAATAGCCAAAACAATTGACAAAAGTCGTAGAATGATGATGAATTTATTAAAATTACAAAGATCCCGATAATTATGAAAAGATGAAAAAGTTGTGGACGTCAAATTTAAGCTTGACTTACGGCGAGACAACTGGCAAATGAAGCTGGAATTGCGACAAATGTCAAGAATGCTCGACGTCTTTTAAAGAATTGTAAACATCCGAAACGACGAAAATTGCAACGAAGATCTTGGTTAAAGTTAAAGGAACATAAGCCGTGTCGTTTGCAATTTGCAGGGAAACACGAAACAGTTTATATGAATAAAAAAAATGGCAGAGTCTTATTTACTGATGAAAAGAGGATTTTCACATCAATTTAGACGGATCTCGGCTATATTATATATAATGATTTACGAAAGAAGATACGTATATACGTCGCCTCAAAATACTCCTAAGTTGACAAACTTTATTGCCAATTACAACTAAAAGTCGACTATCAAATAAAAGTTATGAGTTTGAAGATTACGCCAGAATTAATAGTAAGTTGTGTTGCAGAAAGAAATAAGTATATCGCATTATGAAAATGCCACAACACATTGTTGTGAATTTTTTTCAACCACAATCCTCCGAATTTTGCAAAAAGCTTTTGCATTGTGGTGTGCAACGCATTCTGGTGCTTTGAGCTTAACATACATGAAACATGTTTGTTTAAATATGAAAAATATTATAAAAGATATTTACACATATGCGTTAGATTAAATATCTGTGATAAATAATGTAGTTCAATTAGAATAATGAATTGAAAAGAAATAACGAGAAAGAAAGTACATTGCTATGATTCTAATTTAAAAACAAGTCGAAAAGGTAGAATACGATTTTTTCATAATACTCCTCAGTTTCAAAATCTGTTTTTTTTTTTGAAAACGAATGCTCAAACGGAAAAATTTCATTCTGAATTTTTCATGTACTTTCGCGAGTGGATTATTTCACTCCTATCTTGTTGAAAATTAGCCAAATTCAAGTGTACTTTTCAAACAGGATTTTTTAAAATCGGGGTTTTAAACGAAAAAAATTTTGTCCTTTTTCTGTGACTTATTTTTTCCACGTCGAATCAGCTTCTTATACATATGATGAAGAAAAGAGAGAAATAATTATTATCAGCAAATGTTACACTTGATATAAATACAATTTATAAAAAAGGTATATAAACAGTGTTAGTATTTTATATTATATTTATATAATAATATAAATATAATATAAAATATAATAATATTTTATAAATATTACAATATTTTTTTAATCATATTATATAAATATAATATATGATATAATAATAATACGTTAGTATTTATATTATAATATCTCTATGCAATACTATTACAAAATACGATATAATACTATTTTTTTATGTTTCCATAATTCATTTTCTACATTTAACACAAATTTAATATAAAATTTGACATTTTAATCTGGAAAAAATTAGTTATAGGTTTCCACGTTGATGTTTCATTCTTATTCTTAAATAATTCACAATTACGAAGAATTCAATCGAAATTTGATCAAGTTAGAATTGTGTTGAGGCAACATTTTTTTTTTTTTCCAATTCTCCACATTAAATGTCAGACGATAGATTTCTTTATATTGACAAGAAATCCCGAAGCAGTCCTTTGTCTGTTAGAAAATCATTCGTCTAATATTCATTCATTCTAATTTTAATCCTGTTAAGTTATGGCTGTTGTTGTTTGAATATATCTCTTTTACTTAAAGGACCATCCATTAATGTGGAAAATGATGTGAATTGCTGGTTTTAATTTCTGGAACCAACTGGTTTTAATTTCTGGACTTTTACAACTTTGTAATCGATTAACTGATTAGCGTTCTCACTTACTATGGCTAGATTTTCGCCTTCGCTACCCTCGAGCTAATTTGAGCCGTTTATTTTGAAAGTGGTCCGAGTCCATTTTCCAAAAAAATTAAGCTAGCTGTTTTAATATTCACACTTCTACGTCGTCTTTTCATTTTTAAACAAATTGTAACTAATATATTTAAAATCACTGAGATTTTGTACACAGACAATTAGCTGGTTAATGAGAATGATAAAGATTTTTATTTTGAAACTGGCTCAAGTCCCATTTTAAGAGTTTCAAACTGACATGAAGTATATTATGACAGTGAAATTTCATTAGATGAGAGCTATATTTTTTTTATTATTAAAGTAGCAGTGTTCGATTAGCTCAAATAGTGATTTTTTAAATAATAATAATTTCATTAAATACAGAGGATTTCATTTCAATTAAACTTCTAGTGGACGCGGTTTTTAGAACGTTAAACATACTAATAGAGTTAAAGTAAATTGGTTAAAAATATGTTGGATGCGATTTTTGAGAACAGAACCGTATAAAATGTTCTATAAAGCATCAATGAATGAGGAAGCACTATTCAAAACTGTGGATTTGCTGTCGCGTCGGGTCAGACCAAGAAACTATAATAATATTTGAATTGACACAACTGTATAAAAATGTGAGATCAATCGCAATACTAAAATACAACGATACAATGGACTTGTTACACTATATATACCATCTATACACAATAATTATTTTAAATCCCTCCCCCACACGCAAATTGGGGAAGAATGAATTATAAATTACGAAATATTATATTGAATGCAACATTTCTTTAACAGCGAATAAAAGTTGGATATTTTTTAATCTTGTAACACAAAATTGTAATATCTTTTTTTATTTTAAGGGAATTTTATTTTTTTCAAGGAACTTGCGCCTTTCTAAAAATTAAAAAGGCTTGGTAAATTTAAAAATTAATTGGCTTGGTAAATTGTACATCCTTAGAAACACAAAAACATTATACTACCATGTTATCAGTTACCAATATCTTTAAATTTATCAAAACGCAAACTGTTAAATATCTTGATTTAAATGGACCACTTTCAAAATAACTCATTTTATATGCGTTCGCTACACGATGATAGCTAATCGCATTTGAAGTATGAGTCCATTTGGATATTTTATTTGTCGATTAGGCGATCGATGCTGGATTTTACCTCGAGCTCGTAAAATAAACATACTTGCGTGTCAGTGACCGAGGTGACAGTATAATAATATACGACATGATACAGAATAATATAATTTCTCTTTATCGACA